TTACAAACATAAACCAATTACTACTAGATGGACTATAATATTAAACCAATTACTCACCTGTATCATGCTCGTCGGATTCACCTCCACTCGATCGGGATCTGCCTCCACTCGATCGGGATCTGCCTCCACTCGATCGCCCCCTACCTCCACTCGAACCAGGCCCAGTACTCCTCGAAAGAGACCGCTCATAATATGAACGAATGCGACTGGTGCTTGTTCGAGGCCGTCCTCTCGGATTCTCATTCACTTCCGGTTCCCTCACATTGTCCTCTGCTGGGTGAAGCCCATAGAATAGGGCATCTCTTGCTTGTCTCACTGCTTCAGGACCTCTTTCTTCCACCTCAACAGTAAGACGCCTAAAGTGTTCTCGTTGAAGCTCAATTTCATCACTGACTTTTTGTTGACGTGGGGGGTTTTTATAATCCAAAGTCCGCCAAAATACATGCAACTCTTGAGCATAGAATTGACGTCCTTCTTCCTTAGCTTGAACAACCTGGCAAGCACACTTGAGCCCATGTGTCATCTGAAAATGACACGCACAACTGTCTTTCAACTCCGCCGCCCCATCTAACATCAGTTTGATTGCCTCACAACTAACGACCCTCCTCAAAAACGTGCACGGAGGCTCAATTGCCCTACTCAGATTGCGGTTCAGTGACTTGTGCAGTTCATTCACCACTTCCAAAAACTGATGTTCCATGTAGTTGTGGTTCTTCGCAAAACAAGTGTCGATCGCTCCTCTACCAGACACAAGGAAAGTATTGAATGAAGAGTGAGATGACTCAACTCTATTCGAGCTCGTGTTACCAAGATGAAACACATGGTTCGTGTAACACTTTGCCCACATTGTCTGATGAGGCAACCACTCACCTCGCACGTAGTCGACCATTTTTATGTTCTTCTCTGTCCAGACCCTCTCAAACTCATTAATCTTTTGAAGAAAACCCTCCTGAGTCCAACTCCATGCAGCTTTGTCGAAATATTTCTTCCATACAGCATGCGCTACCTCTCTATTTGCAATTCCACCCAGTAATTGCTCAAACTTTTGCTTCACACAGTTGTTGACGTGCCATAAACATAGTAGGTGGACAGTATGTGGGAGAGGGAAGACCACAGGAATAGAAGCAAGCAAACCACCTTCTTTGTCTGTCACAATGACATTCGGAACCGTATCACCGAGCAACCCTTTAATACATCGCAGCAGCCACTCATATGATTCCTTTGTTTCCTGCTTAATAATTGCACATGCAATGTTGAAATTCTTCTTGACTGGAGTAACCCCAATAATCTCAACCCATGGCCAGCCGTACCTGTTGGTCTTGTAGGTCGAGTCAATGAGGATGACGTACGACCATGCATGCAACATCTGAATGGACGTCGGGTGCGCAAAAAACAAATTAGTGAGCACATTATTAGAGTCCTTTTCCAAACAGATATGGTACCCACGTTGTTCAGCTCCGTGAAGCGCAAACTGTATCGCATCCATTTCACCCATCTCATCCAATCTTGTCTTGGAATTTATGTTGTACATCTGTTTGATATCATGATGCACACCCCCTATAGTATTGAGTGTCGTCTTCTGCTGATTTGGTCTCACCCCCGCCTTCCTCATTAATCTAACCTCCTCTTTTTCAGCCTCACTAAACTGTTTGTTGTGTCAGTGATGTTTTGGATAAAACACCTTTTCATGGTTGTGAAACCCTCTATTAGCTCCGGTTTCACGACTTGTCACTCCCACTATGACCCATGTGTTTGGACCATTCTTTTGCCATACTTCCTTAATACATATCTGAAACTGGCAACCAGTACCCTTCGAACTAATATTCCCACGCGTCTCCTTCGTAGGGTCTGGTTTATAAGACTTAACGATCCTACTACTTCTGTCGCAATACATACAGAGGGCAGTAACAGGATGTAGTCCAGCAGTATTCGGTTTCCATGCTCCTCTAACAATAAAGAACCCACACTCCTGAGCGATTGCTTTTGCAACTAACTCAGCTAACTTGACACTTGCATAATGGATCCCATTCTCAAATTCCTGTGTGTAATCATGATCGGCCGGTAACCACTCTTACATTTTTCCTACAATTACAATATAATACATCAATATTCCTGTGAACCTAAACGCTAATTTCAAGTCTTAACAGCTAAATTCAACTCCTAAACTCTAAATTCAACTCCTAAAATCGAATTTTTCCGACGATTTGAAACGAACAAACGGTGGGGCGAAAAATTCCGGCAGCCGGAATCTGGCCGGGCCGAAAATATCTTGTGACTCAGCCTAGTTCCGGCCACCGATTTCCGCCGGCCCAGCCTGGTTCCGGCCGCCGGAATTTTTCGGCCCACCGTCTGTTCGTTTCAAATCTTCGGAAAAATTGTTCGAAACTACAAAAAATTTACGCACCTGCTTAGTGATGATTCATGGATTCGTGTACGCAGTATATGTCGAGGATAGGCTTTCCCGATGATTTTCCGGCGACTTTTGTAACACCCTACCCTATACGTTTTGCCTAATCATATTGTTCATACAATTGCAGCGGAATTAAACTTGGGTGTTACATTAATTATCAAAATTTACCCAAATAAAATTTCGACATGAATTACTCGCGTAATGGGCTAACAGTTCTTGCAATTTATCCTGCAAAATAATTCATCACAAACATATATACTCACAACCATATGCATTGGCTTTTCATAGCCATAGTCACAGTTTCATACTACACAACTGCATACCATACTAATACAAGCCATAATCGTCATAACTTACACAATTACAAAAATATACACATATCATCAACTTTCCACACCTGTGGATATCTCACACTACATTCGAAGCTAGTATGCACATGAAAATGTTCTCAAAACATTTTTACAAAAAGGTGTGGATCACTGGCCAAAATCCCGAGTAGTAGTCCAAGCACAGAATGGTTGAAGACCATACCTCATCTTGCCTTCAACTCTTTCTCAGCTCCCACCTATACACCTATCTACTGCTGCTGATGATCTGCTTACACATGGCATAAGCAGAGAAGAAGAATAAAAGAGGGCCAGCTCATAGCTGAGTGAGATAATCATAGCATCGTGAGTTCATAACATAGCATACCACTACCATACATCTAGCAAACAAGCCAAAGCACTAGGATCAGATCTCAGCCCTCCGACATCCCAATAGGCAAAAGACTCAACCACCTTGACTTATGCATATGCATCTTATCATGTTTTAATCATAGGCGCCTGGCTACTCCCATGTTAATAACTCTCCCGGGAAACATACCCCACATCCCGTCGGATGTAGTCATACATACCCCAACATCCCGTCGGATGTGGTCATACATACCCCACACCACTATGGGTGTAGTCATACCCCGACACCGCTCTGGGTGTGGTCATATCTCATAAGAATTCTTCAGTCACCACCACATGAGAGGTGTGACTATCATACATATCATAATAGAGTAATAGCATAGGGAGCCCTAATTACTAGGTAGTTGACCGTGAGACCACAACACTCATATTTGGTATCCTTATACATGATTCATATCTCATCTTGCTTAATCATAATTCATTACTTGCACATGCACTTGACCAGGCCACAATTGGCTCAACATAGGTAAATCAGGAGTCGTATAATTGCACTTCCTCGGGATAAACCCTCGTGCAAGTCATCCTCCTTAAAAATCATAATATCACCTTGGGAAGTTTATTCCACCACTTATGGATCCAAATACAACCATAATATCACACCATGTCAAAACCCCTTATCGAACAACCATGAAGTCATATCAACAGTTAAGCCACAAATGGCAACATGTATGCAATCATCCACATAAACAAGGTTCATATCGATTAGGGCAAGTCAATAATATCATACAGCAGTCCAGGGTTCATCATATAGCACAAAAATCCATACACCCCTAATCATGCCATTCTAGTTCACCTAGGTCAATTCTAAGTATCAATATAATTATCGTGATACGACAAACCCGGTATGCCGTGCTAATCCCTCACCAGTTCTGGTCGTTCAAACACCGGTTTAACCTTCCCGTACTAAAACGTCAATTTCACGAACGAACCCCGAATTAAAATCCAAGACCGTCCTAATATCCCCTGCAGTATCCCCGTCAATATTAGTTCTAGGCTCCGGGTCAAATTCTCGATGAAAACACATCAAACCCTGGCCGGAGCTAAATTCAGCGGTTTGGACCCCGGCCTAAATAATAGCCAAAATTCAGGGATTAGAACTAGAGGATTGATTACCTCGCTGCAGGAAGCTCGTATATGAACTTTGGGCTCAATCCGGCTTCCGGATACTCCGAAACCCTAATTTGGCTTATCGGGAATTCAAGAAATTCCTGAACCAAAAACTCGTTTTAAAGCTCTAAATCGATAAATCACGATGTATGGATGAATTAGGCATTACTTACGAGATTTTTTGGATCAGTAGAGCTCAAGAATCGAGCTATGAAAATTTCCCCCGAGCTCCCCTGTTCTGCGTTCGATTCCTTCTTCTCTCGGTAATGGAATGATGATGGAAAGATAATGGACGGGAAAAGAGGAAGTTTTAATATATATTTCCTCGGCCGCTTATATATATATATATATATATATATATAATATATTATATAATATATATTATATATATAATTAATACGTATACTTATCCGATCGATCGATAATCCGATTTTCGTCGAAATAGTGTCGAAATGCTCGATTTTAAATCGCGAACTTTCTAGCGATCGAAATACGATTTTAGCCGAAACGGGATGTTACAACTTTTCCGGCGAGCGTTGAATTTTTCTTATTCAATACGTTCTCTGAAAGTTGGATATGTTGTAGATTGTGAAACTCCTTAATCAAAGATGTATATATGTACTTTTTTTTTCGGCAAATAGCAATTTGGTTGGCGACAAATAGCAAGCCCCTTTAGTAACTGAACAATAAACTCACCCAAACACTTGTATTAGTGAGATTTGGGTCTCAAGACCCAAACCACTCTAAGTATAAATCTACTAATTTCATTTCAATTTAGAACCCTATTTTTAAACACAAGTAAACTATTATAAAGGTTAAGTGGTTGGTGAAAAAAAACAACTGACGAAACAATAAACAAATTTATGTGCATTCAAATTACATAATCTCACACTCTAGATGACATAAAGTTTTTTCACCAATTGCATACAAATTGTCTAGTTTGGTCCAAATCACTCCCTGACTTTTACCTGTTATGTTCTTCTCTCCATATAGATATATTTGAAAAATTAACTATAAACACAATATCCCCCGCTCTCACACTCTCTTTCTCTCTACCGAGTCAGTATACGCTCTTGAAGTTAGCAATAGAATCAGATTGATCTCTTCCACTCCATTATGCAGTAGCTGTAGGGTCTGGACCAGCAGGTTTGGAGTTGAGCAATGGTTGAAGAGCCTTCACAACAATCGTCATGTTTGGCCTGAAATCTGCCTCGTACTGGACACAAAGTGCAGCCACGGCGGCTAGCTAAATGACATTCGATCACCACAAGAACAAAATAGGACGTCACAACTTAGAATGAATTGCTTCAACAACTAATGAAAGGAAGAAATCATGGTTAACAATGCTCAAAATTAGTTTATTTAACAACCTTGGCAACTGCCTTTGGTGGGTACTCGTTGTTTAGCTTGGGATCCACACATTGCTTCACTTTGTCTTCGCTCAATCTAGGTGTGGCCTGCAACCAATTTGATATAGTCATAATTGGAAACTAACCACTATACAAGAATACTCATATTTCAAGAAAATTGGAGAACAAAGTACAAAGAAGACGGAGTATGGTTCAGTGAAATACCCATGTAACAAGACTTTGTTGTCCTTTAGGCATTGTATGGTCCACTGGCTTTCTGCCTGTGAGAAGCTCTAATAAAACCACACCGAAACTGTAAACATCACTCTTCTGAGTTATTTGCCCGGTCATGGCATACCTGATATCATGAGAAACAAACCCAATTATATATTCATTTGTGTTTGTTTAAGCTTATGCGGAAAAACTTTGTTTTGATTATATGTCATTCATTTTATATGGAAAGATAGCAAAAAGGCGGAGAAGATATTCATCGATGTATCGATTATAATTACGTACTCTGGAGCATGGTAGCCAAAAGTTCCCAAGACTCGGGTGGAATGCAGACGGGCGGCGGTGTCAGAGGAAGCACTGGAGATGTTGAAATCTGCTATCTTGGAGGTGAAGTCATCAAAGAGCAGCACATTGCTCGACCTCACATCCCTATGGACTATCGGAGGTTGACATTTCTCGTGTAGATAATCTAAACCTTTTGCCGCTCCAAAGGCTATCTTCACTCTTTGATTCCAGTTCAAAACTGGCCCTGGCTCGGCCCCTTGTACCCCTTTCCTCCCTGTGTACGTAAACACATGCATTTTCTTTCTAAAATCAGAAACCCTGCATTTTGGTTCTTTTCCTTAAGAGTTAATCCATCTGCATAACTCAAAACATATATATAAATTAGAGATTTGTACCATGCAAGACATCATGCAATGAGCCCATGGAGGCATACTGGTAGACCAAGATTCGGTTGTTTGACTCTAAACAATACCCCATTAGCTCCACAAAATGATCGTTTTTCAATCTGGAAACAACCGATAGCTGCACAAAATTAATTGGGTTATTTGTTGAATGGGATGGGGATAAAATGTAGGATATTTGTGTGTGTGTGTGTGTGTGTTTGACCTGGGCTGCAAAATCAGTGTCGGGTTCTTGGGAAGTGGTGGTGTCGAGCTTCTTTATTGCCGCCGGCACACCATCGCTTAGAGTTGCATAGAAAACACGACCGTAAGAGCCTTCTCCGATCAATGACTTCTGGCCGAAGTTATCTGTTAATCTATTGAGCTCTTCCAAAGGTATGCTTGGGGTTTCAATTGGCAACACCTTCTGTGGGACTCCTCTCGATGGGTTGGCCGCCTTTGGCTCAAGTGCTGCATGCGATCCACACAAATAGTCTTAATTAGGATTAGGATGATGATTGATGATAAACAATTATATTTATGCATAGAAATGGAGGTGTACGTACCGCCGTAAGGGCTTCCTTTGGGAGGGGCAGTGTATTGGTTAGCAGGGGGCCCATAAGGTTCCTCTTCTGCACCTCCGCAACACAACATAATAATCACCTCTCTTTCTGCTCTGCTTAATTAATTAATTATGATTGTGGGTAATTAAGTAAAATCAAATATTATGAATGTGCAGATTTCTATGAAAATCAAGACATCCTCCTCAATTTCGTTATCAGAAGAACCGGCATTGACAAAGAAAAATTGCAAGTGGTGATCGAAGTAGAGGATCGGATCCTTCCTTGTGCAGGTTTGTGAAAGCTAGGTTGAGATTGAAGCGTTGATCCAAAAAGTAGGGCTTTGTGAGGATTGATGATGGATAAGATAAATAACCCAGAAAGGATTCAAATTCCAATGAGATTGATGAACAAGAAGAAGAAGATTGAAACGATTATAGGAAAAGACAAGAATTTTTTGTAAAATCTTCTTCTTCGTTCTCTTTTTTTTTTTTTTTGTTTGTCTTGGCGTCAATGGTGCTTGATGATTTTGTTGTTAGGTTGGAAGGGAAGCGGAGGAACGGTAAGGTGGGCGGGCGGGTGGGCTCTCTCCCCTTCGCTTTTCCTATGTGTTATTACTCTCTCTCTCTCTCCCTTTGTTCTCTTCCCTTTCATTTTCTTCCCTACACCTCTTTCTGTCTGTGTCTCTCTATAATTTACTATAATTATTCAGGTGGTGTCTCAAAAATTATATCTATGTTTTAGCAGCAACTAGGAGATAAGGTAAGACCAACAATCTTACCCAAAAGAATAAAAGTACACACACATCTAAGGTAACAAACACGCCCGCAAAAACCAACCCACTCGTCCAATTCGATCCAACCCACCTGTATTTATCGCTAAAACTAAGGTTTTGGGTTGGGTGAGGGTTTTCTTTTGCACAACCCGTCTCTTTTGGATTGGGTTTGGATTTTGGATTACACAACCCGTAGAACCCGACCCAACCCGTGTTCCAACTATTGATATGAGTTCTTATCCAAAAAATATTTATGTCATATATAGCCATACTTATGAGAAAATTAATATATTTCGCCATGTTTCTCTCTCATGGTCTCTCTAATCTAATGCATTCTTTGGCTTAAAGTTTAGACATAAATTTAATATAGGTATGATTCACGTAATTCTTTTTCTTGTGTACAATTTTAATAGAATAACATATTATGAATGCGTTCGTTTATAACATTTTTAGCCTATTTCAACATATGTCGGGAAAAACTAGACATATGCTGAAGTAAATCATATTTTATTAAAATTTAAGTAACATTTGTGAATTTTGATACATTTCACCTCGGTTTATTCATTTGAAATTTTAATTAGTTATAAAATATTTTCATGGTGTAGAATAATTATATATTTTGTGTTGGGTTGAGGTTTTACTTAAAACTATCGCCAACTCGACCCAATCCAATTAGAAACAAACTATTGGATTTTAATTTTTTTGGGTGGTTTTGGGTTTAATATTTCGCAAACCTTAGTGCATGAGTCAGTTAAAATGGTTAAAACCGAACCACCCGCCCATGTACACCCCCTATGTAACCCCCTTTTCTACTTCTACTTGCATTCACATTTCCTTCATAAAGCAATTGTAACACCCCACTCTATATCTTTTGCCTAATCATATTGTTCATACAATTGCAGCAGAATTAATCTCGGGTGTTACATTAATTATCAAAATTTAACCAAATAAAATTTCGACATGAATTACTCGCGTAATGGGCTAACAGTGCTTGCAACTTATCATGCAAAATAATTCATCACAAACATATATACTCACAACCATATGCATTGGCTTTTTTTAGCCATAGTCACACTTTTCATACTCCACAACTGCATATCATACTTATACATACCATAATCGTCACAACTTACACAGTTACACAACATATACACATATCATCAACTTTCTACACCTGTGGATATCTCACACTACATGAGAAGCTAGTATGCACATGAAAAACGTTCTCAAAACATTTTTACAAAAAGGTGTGGATCACTGGCCAAAATCCCGAGTAGTCATCCAAGCACCGAATAGTTGAAGACCATACCTCATCCTGGCTTCAACTCTAGCTCCTCTCCCACCTAACACTTATCTACTGCTGCTACTGATGATCTGCTTACACATAGCATAAGCAAAGAAGAAGAATAAAAGGGGGTCAGCTCATAGCTGAGTGAGATAATCATAGCATCGTGAGTTCATAACAGAGCATACCCCTATCACACATCTAACAATCAAGCCAAAACACTAGGATCGATCCTCAGTCATCCTCATATCCCAATAGGCAAAAGACTCAACCACCTTGACTTATGCATATGCATCTTATCATGTTTTAATCATAGGCGCCTGGCTACTCCCATGCTAATTACTCTCCCGGGAATACGGACCAAACATCTCGTGGATGTGGTCATATCGGACCCACCACTGCCGGTGTAGTCATATCGGACCTGACACCACGCTCGGTGTGGTCATATCGGACTCAACACCACTCTAGGTGTGGTCATATCTCATGATGAATCAACGGTCAACACCACATCAGAGGTGTGACATAACATATCATAACGGAGTAATAGCATGGGGATCCCTAATTACTATGTAATTGACCATGAGACCAAAGTACTCTTACTTGGTATCCTTATCCATGATCCATATCTCATCTTGCTTAATCATAATTCGCTACTTGCACATGTACTTGACCTGGCCACAATTGACCCAACATAGGTAAATCATGAGTCGTATAATTGCACTTCCTCGGGATACACCCTCGTGCAAGTCATCCTCCTTAAACGTCATAATATCACCAGGGAATATATATTTTCCCACATGTGCATCCAAATACAACAATCATGAAAAATCATACCCAATCACCTTTTCGAACCATCATAAGGCATATCAACAGTCAAGCCCACAATTTGCAACATATACGAAATCATCAGCATAAACAAGGTCCATCTCGATTAGGGCAAGTCAATAATAACATACAGTAAGCCATGGTTCATCATATAGCACAAAAGTTCATACACCCTTAATCATGCCATTCTAGTTCACCTAGGTCAATTCTAAGCATCGATATAATTATCGTGATACGACAAACCCGGTATGCCGTGTTAATCCCTCACCAGTTCTGGTCGTTCAAACACCGGTTTAACCTTCCCGTACTAAAACGTCAATTTCACGAACGAACCCCGAATTAAAATCCAAGACCGTCCTAATATCCCCTGCAATATCCCCGTCAATATTAGTTCTAGGCTCCGGGTCAAATTCTTGATAAAAACACATCAAACCCAGGCCGGAGCTAAATTCAGCGGTTTGGACCCCGGCCTAAATAATTGCCGAAATTCATGGATTTGAACTAGAGGATTGATTACCTCGCTTCAGGAAGCTCGTATATGAAATTTGGGCTCAATCCGGCTTCCGGATTCTCCGAAACCCTAATTTGGCTTATCGGGAATTCAAGAAATTCCTGAACCAAAAACTCGTTTTAAAGCTCTAAATCGATAAATCACGATGTATAGATGAATTAGGCATTACTTACGGGATTTTTGGATCACTAGAACTTAAGAATCGAGTTATCCGATTGATCGATAATCCGATTTTCGTCGAAATACTATCAAAACGCTCGATTTTAAATCGCGAGCTTTCTAGCGATCGAAATGTGGGTTTTGCCAGAACGGGATGTTACAATTTTCCCCTCCTTAAAAGATTTTGTCCCCGAAATCTATCCTTGAGTCATACCTTAAGCCTGCTTACTTATCCTTAACATGATCGATCGTACATAAGGTTATTACCTAACTCTTAGGTTAGGAGATCTGAATTACATAACTAAACACATAACACCTCAAGTTCCCAATATAAGGTTTCAAAAACCTATACTGGGCTATCACAACAAAAGCACATCAACAAGTTCAAAACATAACTTATTAAGCAAGATTGTTAACCTGCAAAGTAGGTTGCTACTAACTCAGGGTACTTCTCCCGCTTACTTTCTTCAGTTTCCCATGTAGCACTCTCACTATCTTGATTTCTCCACACCACTTTCAACATTGGGATTTCTTTCCTACGAAGATTCTTAATCTGGTAATCAACAATCTCAACTGGAACCATTCAAATGTCAAATCTGAACCCCATTCGATATCTTCTGGTTGTATAACATGGGAAGGATCCACTTTGTACCTCTTCAGCATACTAACATGAAACACATTGTGGATTTGAGATAGTTCTGGAGGCAATGCCAACTTATATCGAGGTGAAAGCTTTCCTTTCTTACCAAATCTCATCACCCCTTTGTTGGGCCTAGCCTGAGTCTCCACCGCTAGCCCATTTGAGCCCACTCAACCACAAGGCCCGAACGAAGTCGTCAAAGACAACTGATGGCGTCTTCACCTTCATCCCTTCTTCATCATCGATACAACACAGAAAAGGCTCTCTCTCTCTCTCTCTCTCTCTCTTTCTTCCATGCTTCGGTCTCCTCCCCAATTCTCGACTCAAATGGTAACTTCATTGAAGAAGGAAGAGACGATCAATGAAGGATGTTGATCTATTTAAAGAACCCTCCAGGAAGAAGAAAGGTGACAGTTTCCTATTCTCAGTAAGAGCTAGTTTGCTCTTTGGGAGTTCTAGGTCTGGGTCGGTGTAAGTGTCTGGAAAGCTTGAGTTTGGGCCTAGTGCCAGGGACTCAAGCTTATCTGGGCATAGCGTTTAGTCTTGCCTGTCTGTTCTGTTTCTCCCTTTCGTAATTGAATTGATTCAATTCTGTGTTCTTCTTCTTCGATTGGATTCTGTCTAGGTCATTCTATAATCTCTTTTAATCCAATCGAAAGCGACTTTGATTTGACTGAATTGTTACGTGAATCCTTTATGCTTTCAATCAAGGGAATGAAATTAGATACATAGTGAAACTACAATTTATATCAGACCCCCCCCCTTCTCGTTGAACTTAATAGTTGCCGAGATTGAGCTCCTTTACTCTGCTATGTCATCTAATTCGTTTTCCACGAGCTCAAATCCTCCATGATTTTTTGGGTCTAATTATTCGGTATGGAAGAAAAGAATGAGACTCTACCTCCGAGGAATCGATTTTGAATTATGGGCAATTGTCCGAAATGGACCAATTGACATGAAAGAAGATGATGAGGAGGATTGGTCTGATGAACAAAAGAAAAATGCTCAACTAGACTTTAGGGCTATGCATATTCTACTTTCTGCCATATCTGAAGATGAAGGAGAAAGAGTTAATAAATGTGAATCTGTAAAAGAAATTTGGTCTATACTTGAAACTACTCATGAAGGGACTTCAGAAGTCAAGGAAACTAGAATAGACTTACTGTTAAAAAAGAATATGAAACATTTGATATGCTATCTGGTGAATCCATTTCTGAAATGGATAAGAGATTTTCAACCCTTGTAAATCATCTCAAGGGATTAGGAAAGTCATTCACCAGTAAAGAACTTGTGAGAAAAGTGCTTAGATCT